TCGGCCGGACCTCGCCCGCGGCGGCGCGGCGGCCGGGGCGTCCTTCGAATGGCAAATGGCCGTTTCCGCGTCAATCTCGACGTGTGTGGACGCGGAGCGACGACGTGGAGCCTCGCGGACGTGGAGGGAAGGCCGGCACTGCAGTGCACCCAGCGGCCGGCGCAGCACGCGCCCCGTAAGCGTTCCAATCCAATAACACGGCGAGGCGTTCGTTCACACGTCGACAACACGGGCATTATGGCGGACAGGCATTGGCGCGCGCGTGCCCTGCGCACGCGTGTTGCAGTGTGAGTGAGTGCGCGCGAGTCTGTTCCGAGGCACGACTCAAACCAAATAACAATCGCCAACAATCCCTCTCACACTTACCGCCGCGCTCGCCGCCAATGTGTGTGTGTGTCCGTCCGTTTTTCTCCGCGCCGCGCACACCTCACACAAGTACGCGGAATTCCTCATCTTTGTAACGACGTAATTGGGCGCAATTTGTTCTCGCTCGTTTTCTAGAAGGCATCGCCGTGCCGCGGCCGCGCCGTGGCGAGCCGCGCCGCACCGAGCCGTGGCCATCGGACCGCAACCGCCACCGCAGCGAGTCAAGATGGCGGCCGCGTGCCACGCCACGCCGTGCCCGGTGAAGCTCGCCTGCGTAAATACCGGATGAATTGACCACGCCACGCGATGCCCCGCCCTGCCCCGCCCTGCCGCCTCCTCGCCGTCCCAGAGTACGCGATGGAGCACGTCAAGGATGCCGTCGTCACGAGCGCGGCGCACACGGCGTGGACCAGGATGGCGATGATGGCGCCTTTCGCTTGGCGGCCGTGCGATATTCCGGCGAATAATTAAAGACTGGCGGCCAGGACCACGCCGAGCTTCACCAGCTGCAGCAGCGCACGGCTGGTCCGGCCGCCCTTGAGGCGGGCGTTGGGCCGCGTGGCCCGCGTGGCGCTCATCATGTGAGTGCACTGGTGCAGCCCATATGCGGACCGCCCTAGTTAGCCGCGTGCACATATGCAGTGAGCGAATTGATGAATCATTGAAAATGAATGACTGCATGACTGAGTGACTACGACGAAGGACGAGCCATACAATGAATGAATGAATGAATGAATGAATGAATGAATGAATGAATGAATGAATGAATGAATGAATGAATGAATGAATGAATGAATGAATGAACGAATGAATGAATGAATGAATGAAGCGGCCGTCAAAAATTGGCGGCCCGCAGTGATGGGATGACTCAGTGCTGGCTGGCTGCCCGACTCGCCTCAATCAGGGAGATGGGTTCCGCGCCTGTTGCCTCCATATAACGTAATGGCAATGGATGGCGGTGCTAGACGGGCTGCATGCATGAAGGCCGAGGCTGGCGATGCTGGCCAAGGGAGCGCGCAGTGTTTTGACTGCGTTCTGATGAAGCATCGCCAAACATGGTAAATGCCGCGCCGTCTAAGTGGATCGGAAAAGGCGGGAAAAGATCGATATTACTCCAAGCGCCGCTCGTCATCGTCGTCGTCGTCGTAAGGCTTACAGCAAAGGCAAGTTTCAAGTTAGGGGTTAACAAACACCTAAAACCGCTGAAGGACCAATGTCTTGTAGGAACTGAGCTTCTTTCGATGGGCAAACATAGCTAATTTGAACAGGGAATCATCGATAGGGTTAAATATTTTTGAAGCTTTAAGCTTAGCCTTCAACTTATGAAGCTCGGAGATTCCGGAACTATTTGCGGTAGGACACCGGTTCCGCGAGTATGTGGAGCACGCACTGGGCTTACCGGGCTAACCACAGTAATTGCAGCCAGGCCTGGCAGCCCGGGCAGCCCAGGGCTCGCAGCTCTCGGCCGCGTGATGGCGATTTCTGGAAGTCAGAGAGGTTCCCAGTGGATGGATGTTCGGCGCGGCTCGCTCGTAAAAGGCCACCAGAAAGTCTGCAGCGACCGGCGGCGCGGCGGGCACGGCACGGCGCGGTACGGCGCGGCGCCGAGTGTGATTCACTGTCCGAGTTTCGGCTCGGGGATGCGGTCTGGATCGCGCGCCGCGTTCCAGCCGATTCACGAGGAGAAAAAGAAATATTGTTTGGGATGGGGACAGCGGGTGTTCGAACCCAGGACCTAAACGTGTCACACGCAGTCTCCCTTGTCACACCACTGCACCAGGGTTCAGTCTACGTCGTCCGCGTCGTCGTCCAGCCGGGGAAGTCCATTCATGGAGCCGCTCGGTCTGGGCGGCCGGCGGTCTGCTGCTGCGGGCTTTCAATCGCTGCCATCGGGCCGTCCTCGAATCGCGGGCTCGTAAAAGCATCGCGAGAAACAGAAGGGAGGCAGTTGAAAGGCGGCCCGGCCATCCGCAAGGCAGGGTAGTGTCGAGTGTTGCCGGGCGGACGGCCAACCCGCGAGGAGAGGGAACCGGAGGGAACCGAAGCGCGCGCTGGCTTTGAATCGCTTCTGCTGAGAGCCCCACCTGTTAGCCTTCCAGCGAAAGCCGTCCGCGTCGCAATGACTGTGTTTAGGGCCGGCCCCGCTCTGGTACGCCACCACCCCGCCCCGCCCCGCCCTGCCCCGCCACAGCAGTGCATACCTGGTAAACGCCGCCTTCCGCCCCCGGCCATTACACGCACACATGTGTGCAACTTTGTCATCGCCGCTTCCCTCTACCTGGCGTGGCGGCCGGGCGCTCAATCGGCAGCATCAGCAGCATCGGCTGCGCGGGGCGGCAGGAAGGAAGACCCGCCGACCACGCGGATCCGACCGGATAGGCAACACCTGTTGCGCAGTTCGCCCGCGGCACTGCCATTCAGCCAACTGAACCAAACTTCCAAAAACTTGGCGTAGTCTCACTCAAAGGGCCATCCCTTGGAGGAAACATTTGTCACGGGCTGGATTTGTTTCAAGATATAATTTCCTCTCGGTTTCGCCCATCCCGCGCAAGCCGATCTTCACGTTTTACGAGATGGGCACGTCGTCGCCTTGTCCTACACGACGCTTTCCCCGGCCGGAGCGAGTTGCAAACAACACCGTGGCGGCGGCGCCCTCCGCTCTCCGGACTCTCCGCGCCCTTCGAGGCCGATCGAAGCGCCAAGCGCGCAAAGCGACCGAAGCGATCGCCCCTCGAACGCCCCGAGCGTCGAGGCGTCGAGGCGAGGCGAACTCTACTCGCGATTGGCTGTGGAGGAATTCGCCCCGTCTCGTCCCGATGCAAAAGCTTGGTGCGCCTTGGCCAACCGCGGCGTGATGGTGGAGTCCGCGTCGATCGGCCAGGCCGCGCAGTGCAAAGGTTAAGCCAAAGGTTTGGCACACTGCACGTGTGCGAGGCTGCTGGCTCAAACGCCGCTCTCGTCGCTCTGTCTCTCTCGCACGCTAAGGCACGCCCCACGAGTGCGAGAGAGAGGACCGCTCCCTCTCGGATTCACTCTGCGGCGGCATAGGCCCCTGAGGGAAACGCGAGCAATGATGGGCCGTTTAAAGTTTCAGTACTCGTCCACAGATTTTTTTTTTGCGGCTGGTTGGTGGCCGCCCTGCTGCGGGATTGATTCGTCCTTCACACCTAATCGGCTCGGCTCGCCAAGGCGCCGCCCCGCCGCCTTGCCCGCCGCCCCTCGCCAACTTCCAGAACGACTTTGTTCTCGTTTTCATCATGCTTTCTTCCCCCGGGCGATTAGCGCCCCTGTCGGCGAGAGGCGCGAAAAACGTTTGAATGAAGGCAACGCTCGCAGAGGCGGCGCAAAGAGGGAAAAAAAGACAAACAGAACGGCAAGCGAGCGTCGCGCTCTACTTGCGATTTCACAACAAAGTAAAAACGTAAAAAGCCATTCCGGCTGCTCGTTGGAAAATAATCGGCCGTCGCTGATAGCGCCAACGATCAGCGGCCATAACCATAACCTCCCCGCGGCGCTTGGCGCTTCAGCTCCGGAAAAAGGGGGAAAAAAGGAAAATGAAAAAAAAAGACCGCTCTGCCGCGAAATTGCTTTCCGAAGAGTCGCCGGGGAAACGTCACCTGCCGCTTCCCCGCGGATTTATTTCGGGCAACGAAAGGGGACAGCGGCCTCCTCGCGTCGCTCCGTCTCTCTCGCACCCAGAGCGACGCCCCGAGAGTGCGAGGGAGACACAGCGAAGGACGGCCAGCGTCGTGCACAGAGTGGGACGTCTTGCATTTTTAGCGCTGGCCGGGAGTGCGAGAAAGAAAGAGAGAGCTGCAGTAACGACTGCAACTTGCAACAGTGACGATTGCACTCTCTGCCGCGCGCTATCGGCCTTCGCTGCCTTTTCGCTCTTTATATGACGAGGGCAGTATAAAACGAGCCGCGCCGCCGGTACTCGCACATACGCGCTCAGTTCGACGATGGCGGCGTCGGCGCTTGCGGTGGCGCGCCACGACCTATGACTCATCGCCGCCGACAATAACAACACCACCAAATAACAACGACAAGAGCTCCGTGTCGCCAAATTGCATTCCGTGTTGCGGGACGCAGACGGCCGAGAGGCAGACAGCCGCACAGTGTGCCGCACAGTGCGCGCCGCGGTGACTAAGTGGCCGGGAATCTTCAAACACGGATTCGCGTATAATGCCGAGGGGTTCTTAATTGAAGAGACAAGTGTCCGTCAGGCGCCACGCCGCGCCGCGCCCAGGCGGGCCGGGCCGGCTGCTTCCGGCCGTCGCTCTGTCTCTCTCGCACTCGTGGGGCACGCCGGCACGCCGTGAGGGGTGCGAGAGGGACAGAGCGACATGGAAGGGGCACTGTTCGGAATCGGACTACAGGCGTGCTCTTAGCGATAAGGGGGGAACCGGTCGGCGCCGTGCGCTCCTCGCGCGGTGAAAGCACGCACACACGCGCACGCACAAACACACACACACACGCACACACACACACACACACGCCGAGAGCGTATGAGCGATGAGAGGCTGGCCGGTCGATTTCTAAACAGCCCGTAAGTAAAAGAGGCGGGATGTCGTTTGTCATGACGGCGTCCTGGCTGGGCGTCCTGGCTGGGCGTCCTGGCTGGGGGGACTCACCTGAGAGGCGCTCCTTGACGACCTGGGAGGCGAAGGCGGCGGCCGAGCGCTGCAGCGACGCGGGGTCGAAGGCGGCGGCGGCGAGCCAGGGGAAGGGCGCGGCCAGGGCGGGCTGCACGCCGACGCCGCCGGAGCCCGCCGCGCCGGAGCCCAGCGGCCCGGGACCTGCACAACAAGCGCGCTGGTGAGGAGGACGGCGACCAAGGACTCCAAGGACGAGGCGCAACGCTAGGGCAACGACACCCCGGCGCCGCCCGCGCTGCCTCGAGGGAAAAACAGAAGGATTCGTAGGGATTTGTTGTTACTCTATCAGAATTTACACTGTTAGCGAGCGGCGGCTGGAGCGAGTTAATTATTTAACCAGCCTCCTGCGTTCCATAAAGGCTTTAGTCCGGGAGGGGCCGATGCGGACACTCTCACACACACACGCACACGCACTCACACTCACGTTTTGTTGCTTGACGTGCCGCAGTACGGCCCAGTTAGCTGCGATAAGCCAGCCCGGCTGCCTGTCTTGGCCGCCTCAGACGCCGGCCGGCGCGGCGGGACGGCGGGATCGAGCCTCCGCGTGCCGTGGCGTGCCGTGCCTTGCCGTGCCGCGCACGGTCGCACGACACTGTCACGCCCACCGCGTGACGAATGGCCCGCGCGTGTTATGGATTTACGGCGCGGGGTAGCGACGGCAGACTGCTTCCGAACGCGGCCCGTCTCCCTCGCACTCACGGAGCGTGCCGTAAGGAGCGCGAGAGAGACAGAGACAAGTTCTTCGGCGGCGGCAAGGCGAGGCATTCCGCCCCGCGTTCAGGTCTCCGTGGTCGCCGAGCGGGTGAGAGGGACGGACAATGGGTGCCGCAAGTGCTACCGCTGCCTCGGCCACCGCCACCGCGCAGCAGCACCGCGCAGCACCGCGTCGACTGCAATCAGCAGGACGCGTCGCCCGGCCTGCTCGGCCTGCCCGGCGTTGCCCGCGTCACCATGGCGACGCCCCGCCCCGCCCCCTTTCGCGGACTCACCTCGCCCGTCGCCGCGTCGCCGCTCGCTTTACGGCCCGCACTTACAATCTTATTTTTTATTTCTGCGGTTTTCCTTCCCTTTGCTTTACAAGCGTGTTGTGTTCCGCGCCGTTCCGCGCAAAGACGGAAAACAAGGCGGCGAGTGGCGGCGAGTCGTTGCTGCTGATGGGTGTCGCCTCGGCGGCGTGGCGCGGCGCGGCGTGGGCGACAAGGAATGTGGGAACCGTTTTTACTCGCCGCCGCGCCGGTTGCCTCACTACGGCGAGTGTACTACTGAGTGCGGACCGTGCACACTGAGTACCGTGAGTACCATGTCACCGCTCGTGACGCACCAGCAGGACACTGGAGGCCCCGGCCCCTTGGTGGGAGGCACACCCGACACCTACACACAAGCATACACGCACACTGAGACTGGCCGACACACGTCACCGTGCACACCGCCGTCCTTTTGCGGGGCAATTTGGTAGTTAATTAAGAATAACGACGCCGGCGATAAGACGCGTCGCTTCGTCGCGTCCGCGTCGCGTGCGCGCCTCGCCGCGTCGCCGCGGAGAGGCAGAGAGACGACGCGCGTCGCGCCGGCCTGTGTTTCCGCGGCCACTTAATTTGCAGCGACGTGCGTTGTCATGACGACGACGACGACGTGGCGGTAATAAGACGTCGTCGCCAGCCTTCGCCGCCAATCACAGGGTAAGGCCCGCCGCGCCGCAGCCCCCCTGCAAGCGGCATTCATTTAGAGCTCTTTGGCTCTGATCGTCTTGGCTCTGATCGCCTGGGACCGCGGCCTGCGGTACCACGCCGCAGCGACGCCGTGGATGGCGCGCGCGCCAAGTTCAGCCTCGCTGACCCACTGCTCCCCGGCGCCTACAAGTCCCTAACCTGCAGTGACGGCGGCTCTCATCAACGAGGGCGTGATAACATGCCCCGCCCCGCCCCGCCTCGCCCCGCCCCGCCTCGCCCCACCCCTCGCGGCCAGTCCATTAGAATCAATCATGCAATGCCTCACGCCGCCCCGCCCCGCCCCGCCGCCCCCACACGGCGCCGAGCGCCACGGCGGCCTCGCTGACCGCCTTGATGGCCGGCCCCTGGGACGCTGGGACGCCCGGCTCCATCCTGCCAGACACAATAAATCCTTGCTTCAACCGGCTTCAACGCGAGAAAATTTTTCTTCAAATCAAATATGTTTATTTTTGATTTATTTATTTGATGTTTTTTCTGGCGGCGTAAGGGTTACCCTTCGTCCCAGGAGACGCAGCCAAGCTGGGCTGACTGGAGCAAGAAAGAGTCTCGCGGGCGAGTGAGCCACGTGCCCCGCGGAGGGAGGGAGAGGGCGGCTGGACCACGCGACCCCCCCCCCCCCCCCCTTTCCCTTTGCCACCGCTGCCCTGCCGTGAGGCCCGGGGGGGGGAGGGGGGTAACTTGATTAAGGGTTCCAAAACGGACAGAACTGAGGGCTCGGAGGCTTTCCGACGCGGAAGGGGCGGCCAGGGCCAGTGGACGGGGGCAGCAGTTGTAAAATCAGTCGGCCCTCTCCGCGGCGGCGGGCCGCGGGGGCCGCCCCTGCTTCCACGCTCCATCATTTATCCAGTGCTTTGCAACCCGCGGCCGCCCTACCCTCGCCACAAGGTGGCGTGCTGCGCGCCGCAAAGTGGGCCAGAAGACCGATACGGTACACTTTAGACGCGTTTTGCGCTCGATGAACAGGACCCCAACCGTAACGTGTGACCTCACCAATGGATTCCTCATTCGGAGAGCAATCCATCAGTGGGGTCACACGTTCAGTTCGAGTCCTGTTTAGCGACTCTCGAGCTCAAAATGCGTCTAGGAATTCGGCCGCCTCCACCGGTCTTCTGGCCCACTGTGCCTGACACCGGACCAAAAGCGACGCGGCGGCGAGGCGCATCATCGTCGGGTAATGTGGCGCAATAATGCAGCGGCAGCGACCGACACCGACAGCCCGGCCGGCCGAACAGCCTGATGTGTTCGTGTTTGTCAGACATCGGCCCTGATTGGAGGCTGCAGTGGCAGGGCAGTGCAGCGGCAACGCCCGTGTTATTGCGTGACATTTCAAATCTACCCCCTCACAGCAGCCAGGCCACTCGGGCCAGCATCACACGCTGCTGCAGTGTGGGCCCGGCACTCACACACACGTACACGAACCGCAAACAATCATTCCGGAAATCTGGCCGAAGGGGGGCACTTTGTGTTTGTATCATCATCATCAACTTTTATAATCACTCCACATCGAGGGGGGCGCCACTGGATGGGAAGGTGGACAATGACTTGAGACTAGATTGGCTGACTGTGACTAATTTCGATGGTGACTTTTTCGACTTGTCCCTAACTTTTTGACTTGTCTCTGACTTTCTGACTTTTGTACGGACTTTAAAGACTTTTTGGTGACTTTTTCGACTTTTTCAAGGCGTATCGTGGCGTTAACCCCTTGAATTTAGGCAATATCTCCCCAAAAGTTAGAAGAATTGAATTTTTTTGACTTTTTGAGTGGAGTGACTTTTTGACTTTTGATGACTTTTTTGACTGAAAAATTGACTCTTTCGGACCCCGGACAATGACTTTTGAAAGTGGCGCCCCCCTCGCTCCACATGCTATTAACGTTTCTAGCAGGAAAACCGAATATTTCAAACGCCTTACCGACGATGCAACATCTCTCTGCGTGTCCAAAACCGTGGTAAACTCAACAATAAATGGCCATGAATGCTTGATAACTACCGAGGTTCGCGTCCACGTCGTCCACGTCGGCGACGGCAGTCTTGCGCTGAAAGTAGCGGACGGCGCGTGAATGAAACATCGACAGAATGGCTGCCTCGCTGAACGTCCGTCGTCGTCGTCCTCCCCGCCGCGACGCGAGGGGCGTGAGGGGCGTGAGGGGTTCGAAGCGAGCAGGCAATCAAGGCTGTCAAGGCGGCGAGGGATCGAAGCGGGGTGGACGCGACGGACAGCAATGATTGGTTATCATCGCCGGCGACAGCACCGCACATCCGCTTTCATCATGGCTCTGTCCCTGTCGCTCCAGACGGACTGCCGATGAGTGCGAGAGGGACAGCGGCGTTACGTGATACGTGGACGACCCCTTATCGCACCGCCGTCCGCAAAAGACGGTCGGTAATTGGGCCGGCATTTTAAATTCTTTTTACTCCGCGGCCACCCCTTTGCCTTTGCCGCGACCTGGGCTTCGGAACCAGTTCCCTCTCATTAACAGGTGTCGCACCGCCAGCACCGCCAATGTGGCCGGTGCAAGCTAAATGCCTCGCGATAAGCGGCGGCCGACGTCGCCGACGTGGACACGGCCGCGCGAACGCGACCAGGACACGGCAGCGCAGCACACTGCAATAAAGCTCTACCGTTTCGAAAAAAAAATCAAAAAAGAAGATTGGCGCGCATCAGAGGGCGCGCTTCGATTCAACAGCCCGCGATTATCCAAGCTTGGCCGGCAGGCAGCTTGCCGAGCGCGGCGTGGCGTGCCGTCTGTTGCCGTTGTGATGCCGCGATCTCGCTGGGCAGCCATGGGCAACATTGTGCAGCCCTACGGTGGCGTGCCGGATGTCGCCGCCTGCAGCCTTTCAGCTTTTCAGTGGCCAGCGCCTCGCTGAACAGGTGTGATCACCGACGAGCCGCCTAACGGCCTAACGGCCTAATGGGCCGAGTGCATGTCACGCCACCCACAATGGCGTACATACTGGCGTTCAGGTCCCTGTGCTTACCCTGCGGGCGGTGCGCGGGTACCCGGATCACCCCGGCGGGCCCCTGCGCGAAGACGAGCCCCGCGTTGGCGTGCTGGCGCGCCTGTCCGGACGCGAAGTGCAGCACGGCGGGGTGCGAGTACAGGGAGGTGATGGCCGACGTGACGGCGTCGTGGTGCTGCTGCTGGCGGAGCAGGTCCAGCGTGGCCATGGACATGCCCTGCATGGCCGCGCCCGCCGCCGAACCCTTGCCGTCGGCCACGTCGCCGTCCGGGTGGCCGCCGAAGTCCGCCCCCAGCAGCCGCGATATGCTGAAGGGCAGGCTGGGCGCCGAGCGCGACGCCGTGCGGC